GCAGAGTCGCATGGCAGAGCGGGACGCCTATGAAGGCGGGAAGCGCAGCCAAGCGTACACACCGCACAGTAGGCAACAAGTGTGGAGGCTCGGGCTGTACAGTACACCTGCTCGTGCATGCAGAGCACTCGTCGTGAGTCGTGACTCAAACGCGCAGCGGGGAATCAGCAGCAGATGGATGAGCTAGGCGATGACGCGTGCGGGATGCATTGCATGCCTTTGAATGCATTCGTCATTCCTCATTGTGATTCATTCACCCTCAGTCACGAGTTCACGATTGGCAAGCGCTTCCACTTACCACTCCTACCATCACGCCGCATCGCATGGCATGGCATGGAGAATAGCTCTGTTTGCTCAAGACGACGCCTGGAGTTGTTGCTGAAGCAGTCTGATTGCACAGCCCTCTTCTCTGCCACTCACTCACTCACACCATCAGTCTTCTACGCGTGGCGTTAGCCTTCGAACAGTCCCAAGCGAGTAGAGGCATGCGAGCAGCCAAGTCTCAGGCTACACTCTCCCACTCTTTACGCAGACCATCATGGACATGGTGAGCGATCCGGAAACCCCTTTCTGGCGTATCCTGACACCATCCTCATACCACGCATCTCATCCATCCCCCCATCGCAGTTCGGCGGAGGCACCTTTGCCGGAGGCAGAGCTGGCGGCTTTGGTGGATTCATGAGAGGTTTCGGTGCGGGTGCGGGTGGAGCAGGCGCATTTGGTGCATTTGGAGATGCAGGGGATGATGATGATGATCCCAGATTCCCTAGACCTCCTCATCATTACGATGAATATTTCAAAGCCTACTCTACCAGCATGTTGCCTGGCAAGGAGAGGTTGAACGTCAGCTATGGTGGCAAGAGTAAGTGCAAGGCAGCCACAACAAGGTGTATGCTCGGGCTCCGTCTCGCGAATGCGACTAATGAGTCATGCCCCCACCTTGCGCGCTCCCCCTTCCGCGCTCCCGCCAACAGTCATGATGCCCACATCAGCTTTGGCTCGTCTTTCTCATCTCGGCATCCAGACCCCTTGGCTATTCGAGCTCTCCTCGACGGGCACAGCGGCGGATGGCGAGGAGTACAAGACGCACGCAGGTGTGCTAGAATTCATTGCAGACGAAGGCAACGTGCACTTGCCTGCTTGGATGATGCGGCAGTTGCACCTTTCCGAAGGAGATCCGATCCGAGTTCGAGGCAAGTCCATGCCTCAAGGCAAGCACGTCAAGATCCAACCTCAAACTGTCGATTTTCTCGAAATTGCCGACCCAAAAGGTGTGCTGGAAGGAGCTCTGAGCAACTTTTCGGCGCTCACAAAGGGAGACATTATCGAAATCTCTTACAATTGCCTCACGTTTGAGATTCTGGTTTTGGAGATCAAGCCGGATGCGGAGAGCATCAACATTACAGAGACGGATTTGGAGGTGGACTTTGCACCTCCCAAGGGGTATGTGGAGCCCGCGCCCAAACCTAGAGCACCAGTTCCCACCATGGCTTCCAAATTGAACATTGACAAGTCCAAGGTGGACTCTATTCCCGCGTCTGGCGCGACTACGCCAGGCGGTGGGGGCAGCGGATCGGGCAGGGAGGGTGGAGCAGGAGGTGCAGAAGAACGCGGAGCTTTCAGAGGTGCGGGACAAAGTCTGAGCGGCAAGAAGCCCAAAGCTGGCAAGAAGGATAAGCCGATCGAGCAGCCAGACGCATTTAGCAAGATCAGAAGAACGGATCAAGTGAGGTTTGCGACGAACGATACGCAGCTGCAAGAGAAGCAAATCCCTGCAGCGCTCAATCTGCCTTTTGGAAGATTGTTCTTTGGATACGAGTATGAAGATCCGGGCGTTATCAAGGCCAAGGCGGAGCAGAAGGAAGAGAGAGCTCAGAGCTTTGCGGGAAGCGGAACGACGCTCAGTGGTAGAGCGCCAGCTGCGAAAGCTAGAGAAGAGGACAAGGAAAAGGAGAATGTGCAGCAACCTAGGCGGTTGGACGGACGACCTATTCCAAAAGTCGTAGAGATCAGCGATGATGAGAAGTAGTGGGTGGTGGTGGTGGTGCGCGCAGATGATGTTTGCCCTGCATAGCTTTCCTTCGCCACGACTTTTGCTCCAGGCGGTGATGAAGCACCGAAGGCTCAATCGACCAGCCTTCGATTGGCCCGTGCTCTCGCTCCCACCGCCTCTCGCCTACATATCAATTGCTCGCCCCATCCAGTATCGATGCGTACGAATCCCAGTATGCCTCACACCTTTTAAATCTCTGTAACAGCATTCCTACTCACCAAGAACAGCGGCCAATACTAGAACTTGCGCGCGCTCAGACGCAGATGCGAAAAGCTTTTTGAGTGTTCCAGAGATGCAAAGCGAGGGGAAACGATGGTCTAACTTTAGCGAAGAATTGATTCGTGAGCGATGTAGAATGTACAGTCAAGTGCGGGGGCATATATGCTATCAGGTTTCGTATAGGCAAAGAAGCTGTCACGACGCGGTCGGACGGAGCAACTACAATTGAGTTTTTCGGAGGGGGCAAAGAGTGGAGGTGAGAAAAAGCCTAGCGTGGGGGGTCGGCTTGGGTATCGTAGCGGCGCGAAGCAAAGCAAAGCAAAGCAAAGCTAAGCGCTCTGATCCTGTTGCTTCTTCTCATCAGCCTGCAAAGCTTTCGGTCCATCCCTCTTCTCGTCGAAATTGTACATGGGCCAATCGCATAGGATTGAGCACTTGATCCAGCGAGGTAGAGGCTGATAGATGGCCGGGGGAATGGGAATCAACAAGGAGGTCCTGCTCCTAAAAGCCTTGTACCTCTCCCAATGATCTCCCTGCGTCTGTTGTCTGAACGGTGGCAAAGCTTCCTGATTCCTATCCTTGGAAGCGTAGCCGTGAGATTTCAAAAAGGACTTTTCTTGCGATGGTTTTTCGCTGAGCGGCAGACCGGAGAGGAACATGAGCAGCATAAAGGTGAAGAGGGGACTGATCACTGTTGCTAGCAGCGCATCGTGACCTCTGCGGGAGATGGTGGAGGAAGAGGCGGGAGAGATGACGAGCAGATAGATGCCTAGCCACAAGAGAATCTCGCCGAAATAGTTGGGTCGTCGACTGTAGTGCCATAGCCCCGTGTCCGTAATCGCTCCGCGAGGCGGTTTGGATTGCTTGAACGTGTACTGGCAGAGAGGTGAATCGAGGTGATGGGAGAGAGAGAGAGAGAGAGTTCGAGTGGGGAGGGCAATAAGAGGCGAGTGAATGGTTGAGCACCAAGACCATGTGGGCACACGTGACCAATGCTCTCCATGCAGGTCTGACGCGCGGGCCCACGCAAACGATGAAGGCCCCGCCCCGCTGGAGGAGGTCACTCAAAACTCACCTTTTGCAGATCGGCAAAGGCTTCGCATGCAAAACCGAGTAGCCAAAAGATGATGCCGATGATATCCTTTGCCGTTGCAAAGGGGTAATCCGTACCGCCATAGCCATCCAGCGCTCTGCTGACAGCCGGACTATTGAGCACGACGACTGGCGTGCTGACAGTCCAAACCCAAAGAGCCTGAGCGATCCAAAACTGTGCAAATTTCAAAGGTTTGGCCCTCATCTCGTCGAACCTGCTATCGCCGCCCATCTTGAGCATGCGGAACAATTGCCAAGCTCCTAGTCGCACGGCCCACAGCATCACAAAGATGCTGCTGATGATGTTGCGCGCATAAAAGGAATCGCCGAAGAGCAGGGTGATGAGTGCAAGAGCGAAAAAGTTGATGGCGCTCCAGAAATCGGTAATGGTGTCGATTTGCAGTCCGTAGGCAATGGCGAAGCCTATGGCTTGCCAGCCCACTGTGATGATGGCAGTGAGGCCGAGATAGTATGGATCCAATGCGGCTACGAACATTTTGGGGTGCGTGGTGCTTGGTGAGAGTGGGGTGGGGCTAGTGGCTATGCACTTGATGAAGAGGAGAGTGACAGTGTAGACAAGGGAAAAAGTCCGGTGTACCGGTATATGTATGTAAAGTGGAGCAGCTGAGCAGGCGTCCGCGTGAGTCGTGAGTGTGAGTCACAGTGCTTGCTTGGGTAAGGCAGCTCCGTCGGAGGATTTGAGCCGGGGGAGCTAGGCGCTTGATGGGCATGGCACACGAATGCGCGTCATCCTTCAACCTCTCGCGCGCGCGTCCAAGCTTACCTTATTCTCCACAATCACGAATGTGAATCTTGAATCGTGGCAAGTCGTGAATCCCGCCTTTATCATCTGCGTCTACACGAACATAGCATCAGGCTGGCTTCGATCGCAGAGCTGCTCTGCTCTGCTCTGCTCTGCTCTGCTCTGCTCTGCTCTGCTCTGCTCACTCGTTCGCTTGCCGGCCTCCCCTTGAAGCCACGTCCTTGACCGATGGTACAGTACGGTACACACGCACGCACAGCCCACAAAACATATGCATATATGCAGCCACCCTGCTCTAGCTGCAAGATTCACGATGGCCCAACATGCCCGATCTGCTTGGCTTACTCAGACTGACCAGACATGCGTGCGTCATATCCATCATCATGCTGCGCATATTCAGGTCCAACATTACTATTTTCACACAATCACGAATCAATGTGAATGGTTTTCTCTTCCTTCGGAGCTGCACGCAATACGCATGCTTGCCATGCCTGATTGCCTGCCTTAGCTCTTCTTCACCCACGCCCCCCAGTCCCGCGCATATATGGCTCACCCGCGCAGCTGTGAATAGCACC